CTAGGTACTTGTTTATCGCACAGTACCCTAAACGCACTCCTCAACTTAAGCCACCTCGCCTTAATTCTATGGACCACACCTTCTCTAACCTCTCCCGCCGTTGTAATAATCGATCCTAAATAACGAAAATGTTCACTCTTCGGTAGTTCTTGGTTCTCAATCTTCACTTCTCCTCTGTTTCCATTGCTACTATTTACTAAAACTACACTCCATATGTTATGTCTCATTTCTACTTGTCCTAAATCCTATAGATTCAAGTGCTTCTCTCCAAGTCTCCAACTTAGTGTCAACTCCTTCTCTAATCTCATCCACTAACACGATATCATCAAACACTCTTACATAGATTCTCAAAATTTTAAAAATAAAATAAAATGAAAGAAGCTATAAGCAGTGGAATAACACACCGAAACAAAAAAATTTGTCATGGATCAAACCACTGCTACCATAATCACAGTGTTCTCAAAGGGCTCCATCATCCACACCATCACCGACTACTGTCATAATTCATCGCATAGCCTTCACACCAGCAACAACCGCATCCTCACGACATCGTCACATCTTCAAAGTTTACCATCCTTGGAGAAGCTTGTTACCATTGCGATGCCAATCCCATCATCCTCTTCTGCTTATGGAAGACACTCTGCAGAAAAGGGGTTAAACCCATTCCCTGACCCATCAAACCCTTGACACGAAAGCCCACAGACTCAAATAATCCAAACCTACCCAACTCTCCAGCCCAACCATTAATCAACACCCAACATCAACCCAAAGTGGCCCGACATATTCAAACCATACAGAACCAAACAGTCCTATTCAACCCAGAACCAAGTCCAAACCCTCTCATAGCCTTTCCCAACCCAAAAATAAAAAATAATAAATAATAAAAATAGCCCAACCCACCACCTAGTAACCCTAGCCCAATTTAAACTAGCATAAGCCCTGTTCATGATAATAATACAAATAATAATAATATCGTATTTCCCATATTTTTTTACAACGGTGACCAATTTCGATTTGAATTTGGAGTTTGAAATATGTTATTAATAGCAACGAGAAATACAAAGATATCAAGAACAGATAACAACTTTGGATAAACTGTTACCCCATGTTTAGGAGATACTTCAAAAATTTCTCAAACAGATTACGCAGATCAAGTGAAAATTATTGATCAGGTGTTCCCAAGCAAAAGAAATGTTATGTGGATTCGACAAAAGAAATCAAAATAGGTTGAAGTCACACCAACTGATTACTTAGTCAAGTTCGAAAGGGTTGATTTTATTGGTGTTGAAGATTGCCTTTGTGTATTGAATCCATGTTTGATGGACCATATTAACAGCCTGACCACAGAAATTAGTTGGAATGTGAAAAAAATCAAGCAACTAGCATATTAAAAGTACTTAATCTGTTAGCATGGGTGAGTTCAATATTTAAAAAGGAAACTCGCGCTCGAGTTCTTTTCTCAGTCAGGGAGAATAATGTGGAACATGCACGCACCAATTTAGACAGAGATTTTATCTATAATGCTATATTTTTAACATTTATATTTATGTTTATTTATTTTTAATTATAGTTAAATAGGAGTTTGGATAAGAGTCTTTTGTTTCCAAATAATATTAGGATAATAGGATCCTATTATGATTAGGGTTTTTTAACCTGTAAATATTAGAATTTTTCTTTGTATTATTCAGATTTGGATTAATAAAATTGAATGTTAAGGTTGTTGTGTTCTTCTCTCTCCCATTTATCTCTTCTTTCTCCCTCTTGGTTCTACATCATTTAGGCACAAAGCCACAACACACCAAATACCCAAGTCCATGTAACATAGGTTCTCAAATACATAAGAATACAATGTCAAATAGAAAAGATTTTTCCCTAACCAACAACACAGACCCAAAGGATCGTTGCTGTATGACCACTTTGATGACTCCAAAAAAGATGACAAAAAAAATAAATAAATAAAAATAAAAATAAAAAATAAAGAAAAAAGAATCAAATAGACCAAATATGTCAACTTTAGGACAAAATGCATGAATGATGACTAGGTAACAAACTTGTCCTAACAAAACATACCAAACCTAGCAGATTATCAAATTGTGACTTACATTATTCTAACTTGTTTGCGAAGACCATGATAATGAATGTAAACACCTGTTTGGATGGACGGATGGATTTCAAATCAAGGGATTTGAGGTTAAATTTTATAAAAATATTAGTAAGTGTAGAATGATCTCGATCGGTTGCTTTTATATAATGCAAGAGTTGGCTATTATAGATGGACAAAAAAACTATGGCAGAAGTAATGCAATCCATATGCAAATCAAAGATCAAATTGAGAGAGACAAGACAAGTGCCCCAATTAGGGGTAAACCCCTAAGGGCAAGCTCTACTCCAATCACAATGTATATTCTTTTAATCAAAAGCTAAGTACAATGGGATATTACATCACCTATTTATAGACTACAACTAATAGGCTATCTAACATACACTTAACCTATTTATTCTACAACATCATTCTCTCTTGAAGAAACTTGTCCTCAAGTTTAAGCAGCCACTAAGTAAACTCAATGTAACATGACTCATGTAACCATAGGTGAGGAACAGGTGCTGCGTTCCCTCGCCCAAGAACAAATATGATTCTCACAACTTAGCAATTGGCAAATACATCGAACTTCATCCTTGCATCCTTGGCTCAACAACCATAGGTGTGTCCATGCTCTCTCACTAGAACTCGAACAAACCCCCACTTCCAAACCCCTTCACCTCTGACTTGCATACTCGTATATGTATATTCTATGTTAACATAAATTAGAGAAGACATTCGAAAAATGAGTTTATAGTCAAATTTTTTATATAGATATACACATATATATAAGAAATAAATAATAACAAAAAAATTGGTAGGATCGGGATCGAAGTAGAATCGAGATCATATGCGATTCTACATCATTTTATGACTAAGATCGTAATGACTTTAAGGCCCTACTAAATTTAAGATCCTAGTGTGATCCGGATCATTTGGCCCGACTGAGATCGTAGAATCATAAGAACCTACGATCTAGATCGGGATTCTGATAACAATGCTTGTACAGAAGAGTACTCATTCTGTCGAAATGAGACCAATGGCTGGTAAATGACATCTTCCAAAGCAAGGCTGAGAAACAGTGACACAATAAGAGGATGGACAATGCATCCAATAGGCAAAACACAAGAGAATAACTGATCCAATAGGCAAAACACATGAGAATAACTGATCACAAGCTGGAATTCGACATTGCACGCCTTCTTTCCTTCCTTTCTTTGAACACAAATGTCAACTAAGCACACAAGAAGCAACCTACTCAACTCGAAACAACTTCCTAAAGAGGTGTGAAAGGAGTCCCAACAATAAAGCTTCAAACAACTTTGAATACAGCTTCAAATTAATTCTTTGCTTCCAAGGCATAATTTGTTACTCATTCGTTTCAACTCATCTCTTTGATTGTGAGGTTGATTTGGATTTGCATCATTGGTCCTTCCAATTGAGAGATTCTTCCATGCCCCATCATGACCACCTCTACATCCTTGACCTAGTTGAGCCATTGACACCAAACAGTTCAATATTCAAGGTTACACCAACTCACTCAGATTTAATATGAACAGTCCAACGAGAATATTGTCCCAAAATCACCAAGAATCAAAGAAATCGAAGAAATTCAGATTGCACTTGCCCAGCCAAGTCAAAGAACAAGAACCCAGATGGATTCAACAGTGGACTTCGAATGTCAGACACTAGGATCTGCAACACACAAGTCGTCTTGGAACTTCAATGTCAAATTCAAACTCAACCAACAATCAAGCTTAGGCATTCGACCATATAAGGCTACAATCGAACCAGCTGAACATAGATATGAAGGAATCAAATCAAATCGAATCGAACTAGATCTAACGGATTCAAACTCATATCTGAAGAAATCAAAGAATTTCAAACCAAATCCAAAGGATTTGAAGTCAAATCAACCTCAATCAGGGCTTTTCAAACACAGATCTGAAGGGTTTTGAACAAGATATGAGGGTTTCGCAGCAGATTTGAACAAAATCTAGGGATTTCAAAGGGTTCCGAACAAAATCTGAAGACTCTAGATCAAAATTGATGTCTTGAGAAGAACTTGATATCGACTAGGTTACTAGAGTCTAGGAAGGAAGGAAAAAATAGGATCCAAATCCTATGTTCTGATACCAAATAATGCAATCCATATGCAAATCAAAGAACAAATTGAGAGAGATAAGACAAATGCCCCAATTAGGGGTAAACCCCTAAGGGCTAGAGAGAGAAACCAAGCTCTACTCCAATCACAATATATATTCTTTTAATCAAAAGCTAAGTATAATGGTATATTACATCACCTATTTATAGACTACAACTAATGGGCTATCTAACATACACTTAACCTATTTATTCCGCTACATTAAGAAGATAAGTCAAGATAGAAAGATAATGAACGTAAACACCTGTTTGGATGGATGGATGGATTTCAAATCAAGGGATTTGAGGCTGAATTTTATAAAAATATTAGCAAGTGTTGAATGATCTCGATCGGTTGCATGTTGTCCATATAGTGCAAGAGTTGGCTATTATAGATGGACAAAAAACCTATGGCAAAGATAACTCGAGATAGAAGAGATGAATTTTAGTAGCATGCTTGTATTTAGAAGGAGAATCCTTAGCATGATTTCAAATAACAACTTATTTCAAATCCATCATGATAAAGCTATTTAATTTGATCTTGAAATCCATATGTAACTATCAAATCTAAAAGCGAGCTATTTTCCATTAATGCCAAATCCATGCATTTGAAATCCATACATACAAATGGAACTGTAGTATAAAAGATTAAGGGGGGAAAACTCAACTACTTTCCAACGAGGAAATGCATGTTTCCTCCACTCTATTGACCATAATAGCAAAATCACATCCATGATATTTGGTTTATCTAGTTAGAATGTAACAAGTAAAATCATACCATGAAAGTAAGTGTTCCAGCCTCAGCAGCAAGAACCCCTCCAGATACAGGAGCATCCAGCATGACAGGGGTCTCCCAGTAATCTACATAACACATAATCAGTCATGGAAATGCCAAGGGAAATTTGATCAACATATTCGTGTTGTCATTGCATAAGCAGAGAAAAAAGAAAAAAATTTGTGCGCATCAGCAGGATAGGATTCTGTGTGGTCGTAGTTCTGATTCATAACACAAGTTGAAAAGCATTGCCCACCAATTGGTTCTGAGCATTCCATTTGTATCCAAATTTCATTGGGAAAAAAACTTAAAAAATTGGTGCTTAATAATTATTATTGCATAGGAGTATGCTCCCAAAACTGACATCTGGCTTTTGTAGGTGGCCAAACTAAGTGATGTAAGGCAATAAGAATTAGTGCTTTAGGTGACCTACTTGGCATAAACCAATAAATAGGTGGTTAGGATCTTTTGGTAGTCACTTTATGATAGTTTGACATTGTATTTGAGCTTCAGAGCTCTTGTATCTCCATTGAGATTTTCTCACTATACTAAAATCTCTTTCCTAAATTGGTTCCATCATTTTCATGTTCCACTTAAAGAATTGTGAGAGATTTACACATTTGATTTCCAAAACTCTAGTTCGCAGCCTTTGGTTTCTGAAATTGGTGATCACAGACCCATCTTTTTTCAGCATCAAAATTTTTGTTGAGCATCATCACAGACCCATCTTTCGATCTATCTTTCATTCACAAGCTGAGAACCAAACCCAAGGAGCCCTATTTTCAGATTCGATTGAGGATTTCTATGCAGCGAACCTAATATTCACATTCAATTTCAGATTGGAAACCTAATGTCAACAACCAGAGCCGTAACGATGTTTGAAGCGAGATTTCGAGTTGAGTTCTAGTCGAGTTTTGTTAAGTTAGACGAAGGGTAGTTTGGACTTTATATGCACTTATTTGATTAGGATAAATACATATTGTTATAGAGGGAAAACCTAATCTAAGGTTTTGTGCCTCTTCCTCATAATTATTCTCTCTTTCATTTTCTCCTCTCCTCACTCTTAAACTTGTACTTATAATTTTAACATGGTATCAAAGCAGTGAAGTGGGAATCTTCTATTCTTTAGATTTTCTGTTCGTTCTTCCTTTTTCTTTTTAATTCAATATTGTTAAAAAATAAATAAATAAATTTTCAGGACGCTTGACTACAGCTAGGGATTTCCCAGAAAATTTTCAATTTTTTTCTTATTTTTGTTGCCCATTTTTTGAAAAAATGGACCCTGTTTTTCAATCTGTTTGTTCTGTCATTTTTTGCTGGATTCGTGGCTTGGGTTCTGATCTATGGGAGCCGACCAGACCATCTGCAGCCTTCCTTGGCTTCAGTTGTTGCTCCTAACTTATTTTTTGATCTCATAGTCCATTTACGGGTGTGTTTACCACCCTCTGCCTCAATGTTTGACCTTTTCAGGGCTGTTTTTGGCTCTTGTGGGACTGGTTTTGTGGTTTGCTAGGATTGTTCCACCTTCCTCTATGTGTTTTTTGGTATAGTCGTGTTCTTTGTCCATGGCCGATGATAACAAGAACCCTAGGATCAGTGAGGCGAAAGGTTCGGGTCCTGTTGTAACTCTGGGTGATAACTCTTCTCTTCATCTGTCTTCTGTCAAGTTGGATGGCACCAACTATCTGGTTTGGTCACGTTCCTTTCAGTTGGTCATTACTGCTCGTGGTATATTGGGTTACATAACTGGAGTTACTAAGGTTCCTAGCGCGGATGGACCAGTACATGACAAATGGTATAAGGAGAATGCACTTGTTATGACTTCGTTAATCAATTCCATCCACCCCACCATTAGCCAGCCCTTTGTGTTGATGGATACTGCTCATCAGATTTGGACTGCCACCTCTCAGATGTATTCTCAACGAGGTAATGATGCCCAAGCATATGAACTACGGAAAAAGATTCGGGGGTTTGATTAGAAGGATAGGTCTCTTGCTGAGTTGAGCAATTTGCGGCAAGAACTTGATTATTATCAGAACTTCCAAGCTATCTGTTTTCAAGATGCCGTTACCTTCAGCGAATGGTGTCCAAGGAGCAGGTCTATGATTTGTCTATTTGGTTACTATCTTTATTAAGAATGGCTGATAAGAAATATCTAAAAAAGAAAAAAGGCAAGATGGTGATATTACATCTTTATTAAGAATGGTTGATAAGAAATATCTAAAAAAGAAAAAAGGTAACATGGTGATCTTACATAGGAACCTTTGTTAACTTCTTACCTATTAAACTACGTGATTATTATTCAAAATAACATTTTTATTGATTTAAGTATAAATATTTTATATTCATAAGATATATTTAACATCTAAATGTGTAGATATATGTTTTTAAGTAATTTAGAAAAAGTGATCGAATCTTTATGATTCACGATTCGATTCGATTCGTGATTCGGTACAAGACCATTTTGATTCACGATACGAATCCCGATTTGACAACTATGCTCGTGGTATGTTGGGATACATAACTAGAGTTACTAAGGTTCCTAGCAAGGATGGACCAACACGTGACAATGGCATAAAGAGAATGCACTTGTTATGACGTGGTTAATCAATTCCATCCACCCCACCATTAGCCGGTCCTTTGTGTCGATGGATACTGCTCATAAGATTTCGACTGCAGCCTCTCAGATATATTCTCAATGAGGTAATGCTATGCCCAAACATATGAACTACGGAAAAAGATTCGAGGGTTTGATCAGAAGAATAAGTCTCTTACTAAGTATTATGCCAAGTTGAGCAGTTTGTGGCAAGAACTTCATTATTATCAAAACTTCCAAGCTGTTTGTTCCCAAGATGCTGCTACCTTTTAGCCGATGGTGTCCAAGGAGCATGTCTATGATTTTCATGATGGTCTCAACTTGGAATATGATCAGATTCATGTTCAGGTTCTCAACCGCCAACCATTTCCTACCATGCATGAGGCCTATGCTTATGTTCTGAAAAAAGGGAACCAGCGGAGTGCTATGGTTCATCAACCTTTTCAAAACCTGTTTGCTTTAGTTGTCTCTTCTACACCCACAAATGGGAAATCAAGTTTGTCTGAGTCTGGGAGCAAAGGTCCTTCTAGTGCTCGTGATCAGATTATCTGTGATTATTGTGGGAAAGAACAATATGATCAGGAACATTGTTGGAAGTTACATGGTCGTACTAACCGAAGGAGAAATGGTGGCCGTGGTGGTACTAGTGGTCGCGGAGGTACTGTTCGCTCTTATGCACACCTATTGGAATCCTCTCCTAGTACTTTTGGTGATCCTACAGCTTTTTCCCATGAGTTACATACTCTTCGGCTTCTGATGGCTCAGCTTTATTCTTTTCCTGCTTCTACTTCTAATCCTCCTTCCCCTAACTTTGCTTCCACAAGTATTCCTATGCATGCCTTGAGTGTTATATCTTCCTTTCCTTGGATTATTGACTCCGGTGCTACCCAATCATATAACAGGTTGTTTGTCCACCCTTTTCCACTTTTACTCTCCTTGTTCAGGCAAAGATAAAGTAAAAGTCGATGGGTCCTTATCCTCTGCGTCTGGGACAGGCTCTATTCACTGTTCACCCTCTATTTCCCTCTCCTTTGTTCTTTATGTTCCCAAATTCTCTACTAATTTACTGTCTATTAGTCATATTACCAATTCCTTAAATTGTTATGTAACCTTTTTCCCTTCTCATGGTGTTTTTCAAGAACTGAGTACAGGGAGAACGATTGGCAGCGTAGAGCACATGGGGGACTGTACTTTCTAGATGGTGGATCTTCTGTCACTAGCCAAGCTCTTCAAACAACCAACACTTAATCCCTTTCTCTATTACATTAGTGGCATAGGCGTTTAGGCCATCCCTCTATTTCAGTTTTGAATAAACTTTTTCCTAGTTTAGTGAAGGATTGTGATAGAAATAACTTTCATTGTGATATTTGTAAGTATGCAAAACATAAAGATCATGTTATCCTTCAGTTAATAAAAGAAGTTTGTTTCTTTTTATGATTATTCATTCTGATGTATGAGGTCCCTCTCGTGTTATGTCTGTGCCTGGTTATCGATGGTTTGTCACTTTTATTGACTGTTATTCTCGTGTCACTTGGGTTTACTTGCTTCACACCAAAAGTGAGGTATTTTCTTGCTTTCAAACATTTCATACGATGATTCGTACACAGTTTGCCACTGAAATTAAAGTCCTCCGGAGTGGCAATGGTACTGAGTATATTGACGGTGACTTTTGGGCATATCTTAAAGCTCATGGTATGCTTTATCAAACCAGTTGTGTTGGCACTCCTAAACAAAACGGTGTTGCTAAACACAAAAACCGTCACCTTCTTGAGGTTGCTCGTGCCTTTATGTTCACAATGCAAGTTCCTAAACCATTTTGGGGTGATGTTGCTCTCACCTTTGCGTATCTCATTAACCGCAAGCCTTCTAGTGTCCTCCAATTTCAGCAACCCCTTACCTTCCTTCCTCACTGTACCCCCTCACTCCCTTCCTCCTAAGGTGTTTGGTTGTGTTTACTTTGTTCTACTCGGAGCAAACTGGACTCCAAGGCTCTGAGGTGTGTCTTCATTAGTTATTCCTCCACCCAAAAAGGCTACAAGTGTTATGACTCACACTCTCGCAAAACTTATGTTAGCATGGATGTCACTTTTTGTGAGTCTGAGCCATTCTTCGAGGACCAATCTCTTCAGGGGGAGGTTTCTTCGAAAGAGATTGTTTCTTCTGATCCATTCTTTTCTACCATTGAGAGGGACGAGGCGGCAAATTATGAAGAGGGTATGAGTAAGTGTATTCAAAGGGAGTCTAGTAGGTTGGATAGACCAGATTGTGTTCAAGGGGAGTCTAATAGGTTGGATAGACCAGATCTTCAGACCTACTCTTGGTGATAAAGGGAACAGTCAACCTCTTGGTGATAAAGGGAACAGTCAACCTATGTGCCACCATGCCAATCACTACCTCCAACTCCAGTTCCTAATTCTTTTATGGAATCTTCAGGTAATGAGCCTTTGGTAACTTCTCCTACTATTCCTATTGATGATTCAAATCTTCCTATGCTATTAGAAAAGGTGTTAGAACTTGCACTCAACATCCTATTTCTAAATTTGCGTCATATGATTCCTTATATTTATCATATCGTGCCTTTGTTTCATCTTTGTCTTATGTTTCTTAATAATAAATTTTAAAAAATCCCATCTTGTCAAGAACACATGATTAATATTCGCGACCACACAAACACTTTTGAGGTTCATCTAGCTAACTTGACTGCCCTTGAGAGATCAATGCGTCTATTCTGTACCACCGTTAATAGTACCCAACATTGTAGGCAATAAGATTCTACTGTGTGTGAATACTTTATTAAGTTCTAGTCTCTCTTACAACCAGAAACTAGTCATAACGCTTCTATTCTTGAGGATCAATTCAATTAGTGTTGAGACCTAAAATTAGTAGAAAGATGTTACTATCTGATGAGAATCAAGAGGATGCCTATGGTGATGCTTTAGAGGTAGAAGTTTATCTAAAAGAAAAAAGTCAACAACTATCCTGAGGTTACTGTGAGAATATATTGTGTATATTCTAAATTAGGCATGATTGTGGTTGTACATATTAGAGGCGTGATTGTATTTTCCTACTAGAGGCGTGATTATATTTTCCTTTTTGGTTTAGGAGTTAGGGCTATATAATCTAAGGTCTTATTGTAATCAAATACGCAAAGAAGGGAGTAATTACGAATTTGGGAGAACAAATCCTCATAAGGAGACCGACTAGAAAGAAGGGGAATAGGCATGTGGTTGAGAATAAAAGCAACAGTAAGAACTGCCTCCCCTCAAAACGGAGCCGAAACTAAGACAGAGAGAAGAAGAAACCAAGCTGTCTCAAGGAGATGACAGTGTTTAGACTCGGCTCGACCATTTTGGACAGGTGTATCTGTACAAAAAGTTTGGTGAATGGTACCCAAATTGGCCATATATTCACATAACTCATTTTTAAAATATTCCCTACCCAAATCAGACCGTAACACTTTAATTGTAGACCCACCCAAACAGAGTAATAATCATAGACTGAAAGGTACGGTATATCTGATAGAAATCGGACTTATGAGTCATAAGATAAACCCAAGTGTAATCGGTGTAATCATCAACAAATGACACATAGTATGCAGAACCCATTTAGTGAGAACAAGAGGACCCCAAACATTAATAAGAACTAAAGAAAACGGTATATCAAATATAGAAGTACTTTCACGAAAAAGTAAGGCTATTATTTTGGCAAGTTTACACTCCCGACATTCAGTACTTCACTAGGAGAAACTTTACCCAATATACCTGTTTGAGCTAAAGACCGCAAGCGGTCAACAGACAAATGCCCTAATCTAAAATGCCACAAGTAAAAAGGACTAGACAAAATCTAACTGAAAAGAGGAAAAGGCAGACGGAGAGGTTGTCATAAGCAGATGCAAGCTCTCCACCACATAGAGGTCTCCAACTCTACGGCCAATCCCAATCTGCTGCTTGGAAATCCGATCCTGCACAAAAAAGATAGAAGAAGAAAAGATAATATCAAAACCAGAGACATTAAGCTGCTGATAGATAATAAACTAACAAATAACTGAGGAACATAAAGGACAGATAGAATAAAGACAGCAGACGGTAGGACAAACCCAACAGATATCACAGACATACCAAACCTATTAGCAGCATTAACAGTAACAGGAAAAAGAGGGGGAGTACAATTGTGAAGCAAGGAGAGATGGGGAGTCATATGATGAGAAGCACCAGAGTCAAAAATCCAAATAGACAAAGAGATACTTGAAAAAGACCCAAGCAAACTTGAATGAAGAGAGGAAACAACAGAGGCAGACGGGAATGACTGGGAAGTAGACAGTATATGTTGAAGCTGACTAATCTGAGCACTCAAGGAAACCAAATCAGGATCAGGAGCCGGAATAGATGCAGTTCAATCTGCAGGAGACCGAAAAGTACTGGGAGGAAGGACGCAAACCTAGATTTGAAGCTGCTGAGAAGACGAGGTAGGCAGATGTCCCTTCTTGGGACAATGATACTTCCAATGACCTCTTTGATGGCAGAAGGCACACTCATCAAGAGCCAGAGACATCGTAATAACCAGAGAGATGAGGGGTTCAAGTGTAATAAATCCAAAATAGAACAAATTAGCCAAACTAGGAGGGTCAAGGGTAATAACCAAAAACAACTAAGGGGTTGAAGAGAAATAAACCCAAAATAACTAAATCAGAGATTCAGATGACCCACAAACCAGTCAAACAGAAAGGGAGACCCTTTCGCACCAAACGAACACAGAGAGAGAGAGAGAGAGCCAACCTTTGCGAGGTGAGAGAGAGACCACTTGCGAGAGAGACAGAAGCCAAAGTTGAAGCAAACCAGATACGATAAAGGCAAGAAGCAAAGTTCGCGGTATAAGTCGCGATATGGGTCAAACATGTAGCGATGTACTGAGCTTCAGAAATTCGAACAAAGGGCTTTGATGACTCATGAAACTAGGGTTTTGGCTGAGAATAGACCAGATAAAGGTTGTCGATGGTCAATAGTGAGTTGCGAACTAGAAGCATGGTCGATAGTAAGTCATCGTGACCAGAGATAGATGGAGAATGGCCTAGCGAACTTGATTGTGAGTAGGACCTCGCGATGACGAACCAGAATCAGAGAAGAAGCAGTGACGAGAGGCAAATTTCAATGCTTGGGTTCAAAAAATGATGATAGGCTCTGATATGTACAACCACGATCATGCCTAATTTAGAATATACACAATATATTCTCACAGTCACCACCTCTAGAGAGCCTAATATTGAATCATCACCTATGGTGGCACTTGAGGAACAGTCTGTTAGTTTAGTGTCATTACACACTATTCCTGAGTTTCTTGACTTTAATATCGATTACGCTCCTCCATCCATTCTCTGTCAGTTTGTTTGATCCCATGCTTGAAGTGAGCAACCCTTTGGCCAATATTTTAAATCATCTCACACATTTGGGCTTGCATGTAACTTTGGTGCCTCATGTGTTTAATTCTTTCACATAATTCCTATTGACATCTCATGGGATGTATTGCTGTCATTCTTGATTATGGACCGCATGCATATTTCCCTGATTCTTCTTTGAATTTAAAATATTTCATGTGAGGAATATGATAGTTGATCTAGGCACCTTGGAGCATTATGTTTGTGTTGATATTTCTACAAGAATTGAGGCTCCAGTTTATGGTGGTCAATTTGGTCCTGCTAATTCACGCCCACTCTTCCATTGCAGTGATTCTCTATCTTTCATTGGATTACAAGCACCCTATGAAGCATGGATACTCTAAAATGGCCTCGGTACGCGTGTCTGATACGTACCGGATACAGATACGCGTCTGATACGGCATGATACGTATCAGATACGGTAAAGAAGTATCCCTTTTTTTTATTTTTTTTATTTCAGATACGTTTGGGATACGCGAGGATACTTTAGGGATACGCTTGGTATACAGCGGGGCAAAAAAATAATTTTACAAACTTATAACGGGGTCAAAGTGTAAAATAACAAAAGTAATCTAAAATAAAACAAACCCTCGAGTAACAGCAACTCGAACAATGCAAGAGTCGTCGTCGTCGTCTCTATCGTTTCTATCGCCATTCGCGAACAGCAGCAAGGAGGAGGAGGAGTCGATCAAGGTTCATCCTCTCTCGCTCTCACTTACTCTCCCACTTTTCTGTCTCTTGCTCACTTACTCTCTCTCTCTCCATCTCACTCAATCTCACTCTCTCTCCCTCTCACTATACTAAACTAACCCCATTGAATTTCTTTTTTTTTTCCCTTTTTTTTTGCAACTAAGCTAAGCTACTAGTACCCACTTTTTATTTTCTCAAAAGACAACAACATCAAAGAGCCCTCTAAGGTTTTTTTTTTTTTTTTCTATCATTGAAAGGGTTAACTACATTAATGTTTTTTTCTATTATTATTGAATTGCTGAATTGCTGAAATTTTATTAAATTGTTGAATTTTTGGAATTGCTAAAATTACTGAAATTTTATTGAATTGCTGAAATTTTATTGAATTTATGAATTTTGTTTTTGATGTTCATGCCAAAAGATAACTACATACATTAATGTTTTGCTTTAGGTTTTATTTGTATGCATGCTACATTACTTAAAATTGTAAAAATAATATTTTTTACGAACGTATCCTTGCCGTACCCGAATCCTAGTTTTTCAAATTTTGCCGCATCGTCATATCTGTATCGTATCGTACCCGTATCCCGTATCCATGCTTTCTAACAAGCACCTTATAATGATATTTGGCTTACGAATATCCTTCACCATTCTCATGCCATCTGGGTTGCGAAAGTGCCTTGATAGTGCGATGTTCATCTTCTATATCGGTACGTGTACCAGTACCCTGTACGAGTACAAAAACATTTTGAGTACCCGCGCTTCATAGTTAACAAACCAATTTCTTCGAAATAAGGAGTTACATGAAGCTTAGCATCTTCATAGTACAAGATGGCAATGAGGAAAAACTAGTATAATAATCAGAAAGAAAACTGTAGTTACTGCCAGACATCATACAAAATGGAACAATACTATAGACGGGGGAGAGTAAACATTCATGAAGAAGATTAAGCTCCCTCTTTACTTATCATGTATAATCTTTTCTTTACTATCTGTTAGTATTTTACACTACGTGATCAAACTGCCTATGGCCAGTGAGACATAAACATAGGATAACAAGAAGTTGAATATCTAATTGTTAACCCATAATGCTAAGTGGATGCCAAATTTCCAAAATACAATGGTTAAACTAAATAGATAGTAAGTAGATGATGAATGCTAAGTGCAATCTTGTTCAAGCACAACAGACTTCAATTTGAACTCCATACCTTTCTTTTCTTTTAATGCACAGTTAGATAGAGCAACAGAAAGTTTTCTTGATGTTTGAGGATCAATCGTAGACGAATCTATAAATAACCATGGTCTTAATCGATTCCCACTGCTAAGCAAACCATTTGGTCCAGTGTAAACATCCAAAACCTACATAAACAAGAACTGCATGTTCATATTGGAGACTATGCATGACAACAACAAGAACAGAAAAAAAAACAAACAAACAAACAGAAACACAAACATGTGCGGAAAATATTTGCAATCTTGAAATCTACAAGGAAAAAAATGAATTTGAATATTTATGTTTACCCAGCCTACTGTAATTGAAGCTCTGCTGAAAGTAGATAATGCAAAGTCTTGAATCCTAGAAGTGACATCAGCTTTAAATGAAAGTTTGAAGCAACTAGCTGATCTTATCAATATCTAGATTATTGAACATCCTAAAACAATGAGTTGTTTAGATAGCTATTAGAAATATCTAATAAGAGCTATTTTTATTTGATTATTTTTTCTTAAAAGAAGAGATTTGAGATCAAAGAAAAATCTTAAATTAAAAAGTGAGCTGGAGCGAGTGCAGGCAAGAGGCAAAACCAACTATCACAAGCGGTTGAGTAGGCAAAATCGGAAGGAGTCAAAAAGATGGAAGACCAACCAACAAGTGGCAGATTGCTATACCAACCAGTTGATCTTATCAATATCTTTATTTTGAACATTATGAAACAATGAGTTGTTCTGACACCTATTATAATACACCTTTTCACGAGCTATTTCTATTTGACTCTACGTTAAAGAAAATATTTGAGGATAAGGAAAAAATTCAAATTTATTAGAGAATCTAAAAAAGTAAAAAGGAGAATTTCGCGCCCCAAGTAATGTCCAGCATCCCGCATCGAGTGTATGAAACTTTAGCTTGATATATAATGAACGAAGTGGACTACTACTAACAACTTGGGCTTAAGCTTTTGAGTCGTGTTGGTAGACCCACTCCATTCAAGTTGTCGGGCTAGTAGACTACTTTGTCGCTTCCAACCTGCCAAACACCTTTGAACATTCCAATACCCCATCCCACATACCCTTTGCCTTAAACATTGACCCCAATGGTAAGCCCAAGTAAGTCACTGGAAACATTGAAACCTTACACCCAAGAATAGCAGCCAAACAAAATAACTGCCTAACTTCCGCAACTGGGATCAACTCAAACTTCGCCAAATTCACCCACAAACCCGAAACTACCTCAAAACATAACAAAACACACTGCAATTGACCCAACTGTGATGCATCAGCACCACATAAACTACGAGCATCATTTGCATACAAATATGTGAAACAACCAAAGGCACCTCATGTTCCACCCCACCGCAAAACACTCCACTAAACAGCCCTGCACCAACGGAGATAGCAATCTACTCAGCGCCTCCATCACCAAAATAAACAAAAAATGAGACAAAGGGTCACCCTAATGCAAGCCTCGGCATGAATGGAAAAAACCAGCAGGTGACCCATTCA